ACACACACACACACTATACACACACACACACACACACTATACACACACACACACTATATACACACACACACACACACACATACACACACTATACACACACACACACACACACACACACTATACACACACTATACACACACACACACACTATACACACACACACACACACACACACATACACACACACACACTATACACACACACACACACACACACACACTATACACACACACACACACACACTATACACACACACACACACACACACTATACACACACACACACACACACACACACACACACACACACACACACACTATACACACACACACTATACACACACACACACACACACACTATACACACACACACACACACACACTATACACACACACACACATACACACACTATACACACACACACACACACACACACACACACACACTATACAACACACACACATCACACACACACTATACACACACATACACACACACTATACACACACACACACACACACACACTATACACACACACACACACACACACACACACACACACACACACACACACACACACACACACACACACACATACACACACACACACACACACACACTATACACACACACACACACACACACACACACACACACACACACACATACACACACACACACACACATACACACACACACACACACACACACACACACACACACACACACACACACACACACACACACATACACACACACACACACACACACACACTATACACACACACACACACACACACACACTATACACACACACACACATACACACACACACACACACACACACACTATACACACACACACACACACACACACACTATATACACACACACACACACACTATATACACACACACACACACTACACACACACACTATACACACACACACTATATACACACACACACACACGCGCACACACACCTGGTCCTGGTTCAGTCCTGGTTTAGTCCTGGTTTAGTCCTGGTTTAGTCCTGGTTTAGTCCTAGTTTAGTCCTGGTTTAGTCCTGGTTTAGTCCTGGTTCAGTTCTGGTTCAGTTTCTTCAGTGTGAGTTTGTTTTTGTGGTTCAGTCGTTTGTAACCAGGAGATTCACAGTTCAGCTTCGACTGGTGCTGTTGTGTCCATGAGCAACACACTCTCCTGACCCGTGTGTGTGTTTATAGTGTGTGTATAGTGTGTGTGTGTGTGTTTATAGTGTGTGTATAGTCTGTGTGTGTGTGTCAGGGAGGGGTTGGGGGTTCAGTGCAGAGGAAAAACGCTGCAGTTTTATTATGAGGAAACAGAAACATGAACCTCTGACTGCGCCCTGAGCTCCAGCTGCAGACCCAGTCCTGGTCCAGTCCTGGTCCAGTCCTGGTCCAGTCCTGGTCCAGTCCTGGTCCAGTCCTGGTCCAGTCCTGGTCCTGGTTTAGTCCTGTAACTGTCTTCTTGCAGTGTTTTAGTCTTGGTTTAGGCCTGGTCCAGTTGTTTTAGCCTGTGTTTTGGCCCGGTTCAGTCCCGGTCCGGTCCCGGTTGAGTCCCGGTCTAGTCCCGGTCCAGACCTGAGCTGATGCGGGTCTTGGTCCGGTCTAAGTCCTGGTCTTGCTGCAGGGGTCCGATGACGATGAGGAGTCGGTGCTGATGCTGCAGCGGAGGAGCCGTCGCCATAGTGACACCGGAGGAGGAGAAGAAGAGACAGAGAAAAAAAACAGAAAAACAGAACTGCCTCCCGAGCGTGACACAGCAGAGAGAGAGAAGAGAGGGAGGAGAGGGAGAGAGGGAGGAGGGAGAAGAGAGGGAGGAGAGGGAGGAGGGAGGGGACGGAAAGAGCGGAAAAGGAGGGAGGATGTTTGATGTGTAGCACCGTCGTCATGGCGATTAACCATTCAAAACAAAACATGATTCTTCATTCAAACGGAGAGAAAACAGCACAGCACATGTGTCAGGTCCCTTCCCATGTGTGTCAGGTGCCCTCCTCCTGTGTGTCAGGTGCCCTCCTCCTGTGTGTCAGGTGCGCTCCTCATGTGTGTCAGGTGCGCTCCTGTGTGTCAGGTGCCCTCCTCCTGTGTGTCAGGTGTGCGCTGTCAGTGTGTCAGGTGCGCTCCTGTGTGTCAGGTGCGCTCCTTGTGTGTGTCAGGTGCGCTCCTGTGTGTCAGGTGCCCTCCTCCTGTGTGTGTGTCAGGTGCGCTCCTGTGTGTCAGGTGCGCTCCTGTGTGTCAGGTGCGCTCCTGTGTGTCAGGTACCCTCCTCCTGTGTGTCAGGTGCGCTCCTTGTGTGTGTCAGGTGCGCTCCTGTGTGTCAGGTACCCTCCTCCTGTGTGTCAGGTGCGCTCCTTGTGTGTGTCAGGTGCGCTCCTGTGTGTCAGGTGCGCTCCTGTGTGTCAGGTGCGCTCCTGTCCTGTTGTTTGTTTCTCGGGTCAAAGTCGTTGAAGTAAATTTAGATTCTGAAATCGATGAGTCAGAACAAAACAGAACCAAACCCTCTGACCCGGACCAGACCTCACAACACTCACTGGTCCTGGTCCAGTCCCGGTCCAGTCCCGGTCCAGTCCCGGTCCCGGTCCAGTCCCGGTCTGTACCAGTCTCAGTCTGTGACACTGACGTCTTTGTTTGGGACAAAGAATCTTTCAGACGATTGTTTCACAAACTGTGGAATAAAACTACAAACCAAAAACTTCAACACAAACATCAGAACATTTGAATGATTCTGATCAAAGTGGACCTGAAGTAGACCTGAAGTGGACCTGAAGTAGACCTGAAGTGGACCTGAAGTGGACCTGATCTGGACCTGAAGTAGACCTGAAGTGGACCTGAAGTAGACCTGAAGTGGACCTGAAGCGGACCTGAAGTGGACCTGAAGTAGACCTGAAGCGGACCTGAAGTGGACCTGATCTGGACCTGAAGTAGACCTGAAGCGGACCTGAAGTAGTCCTGAAGTGGACCTGAAGTAGACCTGAAGTGGACCTGAAGTAGACCTGAAGTGGACCTGATCTGGACCTGAAGTAGACCTGAAGCGGACCTGAAGTAGACCTGAAGTGGACCTGAAGTAGACCTGAAGTGGACCTGAAGTAGACCTGCAGCGGACCTGAAGTAGACCTGATCAAAGTCGACCTGAAATAAAACTGAAATAAAACTGAAGTAAACGAGGTTCGTTAGTGTTTTTTACATTAGACATTTAGAGTTTATTTTTTCAAACCGGCGTCGAGCTCTAAACCAGATCTAATCTGAAAAACTTCATCAAATTTGAGCCACGTTCTGTTTCATCACGTCATGACGTCAGTGTTTGTCAATTTCCTGTCCTCTAGCGCCCTCTGCTGGAAACACACGGAAACACAGTCACTCTATTAAAAAAAAACAAAAAACTGTTCATCACTGCTCCGTTTAGTCCTGGTTTAGTCCTGGTTTAGACCTGGTTTAGTCCTGGTTTAGTCCTGGTTTAGTCCTGGTTTAGTCCTGGTTTAGTCCTGGTTTAGTCCTGGTTTAGTCCTGGTCCAGTGACAGTTTTTTTGTTATTTCAGTTTGAAATAAAAACTCGAGTCAGTTTCATGTGAAAATACTTTATATTATTTTGATTTTTATTATTATTATTTTTATTGTTTTAGTATTTGAGCTTCTTGAACCGTTTTTATCATTTCAAACTTTTAGATTTGACACGTTTCTGTAGAACTGGGACACAGGAAGTGGGACAGTGTTCAGTGACCTTCAAAATAAAACTGGAAAAATAAAAGAATCTAAATCAGCTGCAGGTTGAAGAAAAACACTCTCGTCTGGGTCACACTGACCCGAAGAAACATTTTTTTACTCTCACCAGGCAAGAAAATAAATGAAAATAAACTTTTGGGTCTGATTGACCCGAACCAAGAAGGAAAGAACAAACATGTTTGTTGGGGTCAACGTGACCCCGAGGAAACGACAGAGTTAAAAACAAAACCCACAGGCTCAGTTTGACTCGTTCACATTTTCACATTTTCACAACTCGTCTGTGATAAAACTGACGGTTTTTTTCTTTTCAAACAAAATGAAGCAGAAAAAAGTGGATTTAAAATAAAGAGTGAAGTTTCTCTGGTGTTAAAGTCGATTTACTCTGGAACTGAAAACGTTCTGTTCATGATAAACTGAATCAGATTTACAGGTTTAATAAGTTTCACTTTTGTTTTTGTGGCTCTGAGTCTCTCCTCTCTCTGTGCTGACTCCCTCCCCCTTCAGAGCGTCACACTAATAAAACTCCTGCACAAACATCACGTTTGTCCAGTCGCTCTGTTCAGTTTGTGTTATGGTTTTGTTTATTTATGGAGGATTGTCGTGTGAGAGGCTGGGGGGCGGAGCCTCGTACAGACTCGTACCGTTTACAGTGAGGAAGATTCAAAGAGTAAATTTTGCAGAAAACTCTTCAAACAAGAAGAAGAAGAAGAAGAGGAAGAGGAGGTTTAAGTTTGAATCTTCACTTTGGCACATTTCACTCCAGACACAAAACTGTTATTATTATTATTGTTATTATTATTATTATTGATGAGTAATACAAAACTAAAGACACATTTAGAGTTTAGAGCAGAAACACAGACGCCACAATGAAGAACGAAGAAAAAGAAAGAAGAACGAAGAACGAAGAACACAGACGACAGACGACAGACGACAGACGACAGACGACAGACGGAGACCAAGAGGAAGAGGAAGTAGAGCAGGAGCAGGTTTGACTCAGTAACAGTTGAACGTTCGACTTGTTTTACAGCTCAACTTTGGCACCAAAACCACAAACACGACTCAACTCAGACCAGATACACACACACACACACACACACGTACACCCAGTGTATAGTTGTGTGTGTATAGTGTGTGTGTGTGTGTGTGTGTATGTGTGTGTGTGTGTGTGTATAGTGTGTGTGTGTGTGTGTGTGTAGTGTGTGTGTGTGTGTGTGTGTATAGTGTGTGTGTGTGTGTGTGTGTAGTGTGTGTATAGTGTGTGTGTGTGTGTGTGTGTGTGTGTGTGTGTGTGTTCATGTTCTGGAGTTTGATCTTCAGTCGTTCGTCTGACGTCAGTCTGTCTCCACAGGCTCCGCCCCCTCTGCGCTCTGAGCGTGCTCCGTAGCCTCATTGTTCTGAGCGTGCTCCGTAGCGTCCGTAGCGTCCGTAGCGTCCGTGGCGTCGGCGGCGTCGGCGGCGTCGCTCCACACGTTCTCGTGTGTGTCGAAGAACTCGTCGGCCTCTGGAGACTGAGGCGTCTGTGAGCTGGAGCCTGCCTCACTGCTGCTCTCCCTCAGCTCCAGCAGCACCGGCAGCGCCCCGGGCAGAGAGAACGCCTCCGCCCGCGACAGGGGCACCTCCGACAGGGGCACCTCCGACAGGGGCACCTCCGACAGGGGCACCTCCGACAGGGACAGCTCCTGCAGGGGGCACAGGGGAACCGAGGGTCCCTCCGACGCCTGAGACACAAGAACATGTCAAGAACAACAGACACGAGGACGACAAACGTGTGAGGAACAACAGATTTAAACACTGACGTCATCTGATTTAACAGAGACTCAAAGTCCCAGAATCCTCTGCTCCACCTGGTGATGTCATCATGTGGTTTTAAACTCCACACACCTTCACTAGAATCATCTGGATCATTTCAGTCGTGGAGTTGTTGATCTCGACTGAACTAAAGGGAAAAGGAGCTGTTCACTTGATGACATCACAGGGTGGAAGAGACTCACACAGACTGACTCAAACGTGTGAGTGACGCGTGTGTTTGTGGGAGGGCATCTGACTCACGTGTGGCTCCTGTTTGCCGTCGTCTTGTTCTTGTGGAGAGTTGGTGGGCGTCAGGGGCACGTCGCCCGGCGCCGCGGGGCATCGTGGGTCGTTGGGCGCGGCGTTGGCGTTGGCGCCGTAAGCCTCCTCGCTGCTCTGAGGCGTTAGCTTCTCGCTAAAGCTAAAGCGGGGGGAGGAGTCTGCGGCGGGGGAGGAGGGGCCGGCGGACGAGACGGTGCTGGACGGACCGCTGCTGTCTGAGGGGCGGAGACACAGAGACACAGAGGAGGAGTCAGAGCGTCTGCGTCGCACACAGGTTTATAATAAAGCTGTTAAGCCCCGCCCCCTCTGCCTCTGTACTCACACCAGGGCGGTCGGTCGCTTCTGGACCTCAGGGCTGAGGGCAGGACTCTCTGCGGCAGGTACGACTCCACCGACGGCTGCTGCGCCGAGAACATGGCCGACAGAGCTGAAACATCACAACTATTACAGAACATGACCCGCGTCACGGCGACCGCGTCACGGCGACCGCGTCACGGCGACCGCGTCACGGCGACCGCGTCACGGCGACCGCGTCGACCTCGACCGCGTCACCTCGACCGCGTCCCCCCGACCACGTCACCCTGACGTCACGCCGACCACGTCACGCCGACCCGCGTCCACCCCGACCGCGTCCCCGCGACCGCGTCACGCCGACCGCGTCACCCCGACCGCGTCACGCCGACCACGTCACCCTGACGTCACGCCGACCGCGTCACCCCGACGTCACGCCGACCACGTCACCCCGACCGCGTCCCCCGACCGCGTCCCCCCGACCGCGTCACCCCGACCGCGTCACGCCGACCGCGTCACCCTGAACGTCACGCCGACCACGTCACCCTGACGTCACGCCGACCACGTCACCCCGACCGCGTCACCCCGACCGCGTCCCCGACCGCGTCACCCACCGCGTCACCGACCGCGTCACGCCGACCACGTCACCCCACCGACCGCGTCACCCCGACCCGCGTCCCCCGCGTCCCCGACCGCGTCCCCCCGACCGCGTCCCCCCGACCGCGTCACCCCGACCACGTCACCCCGACCACGTCACCCCGACCGCGTCACCCCGACCACGTCACGCCGACCACGTCACCCTGACGTCACCCTGACGTCACGCCGACCACGTCATGCCGACCACGTCACCCCGGGAGGTTTTGGTACAAAAGTTAAAGTTCGTCAGATTTGACACAAACATTTTTGTGGCACCTGATTTAGACAGAATAAAGAAGTTTTCTGGAGTTTGTGTTCGTCTCGTCAGAATCTGGGACGTCAGACGAGTTTGGGCTCAGTGTGTCAGGTGGTTGCTATGGTAACAGTGATGGAGTTCCAAACAGGAAGTTACATGGCGTGGCTGTGTTGTTGTGTTGTGTTTTGTGTGTGTGTTTTGTTGTTTGTGTCGTTGTGTGTGTTGTGTCGTTGTGTGTGTTGTTGTGTGTTGTTGTTGTGTGTGTTGTTGTTGTGTTGTGTGTGTGTTGTGTGTGTGTGTTGTTGTGTCATGTGTGTGTGTTGTTGTGTTGTGTGTGTTGTGTGTGTTGTGTGTGTTGTGTGTGTTGTGTTGTTGTTGTTGTGTTGTTGTGTGTGTGTGTGTGTGTGTGTGTGTGTTGTTGTGTCATGTGTGTGTGTTGTTGTGTTGTGTGTGTGTGTGTGTGTGTGTGTGTGTGTGTGTGTGTGTGTGTGTGTGTTGTGTGTGTGTGTGTGTGTTGTTGTGTTGTGTGTGTTGTGTGTGTGTGTTGTTGTGTGTGTGTGTGTGTGTGTGTGTGTGTTGTGTGTTGTATGTGTTGTGTGTGTTGTTGTTGTGTGTCGTTGTGTTGTGTGTGTTTTGTTGTGTGTGTTGTGTGTTGTTGTTGTGTTGTGTGTTGTTGTTGTGTTGTGTGTGTTGTTGTGTTGTGTGTCGTTGTGTTGTGTGTTGTGTTGTTGTGTGTGTTGTGTGTGTTGTTGTGTTGGGTGTTGTGTGTTGTTGTGTTGTGTGTGTTGTTGTGTTGTTGTGTTGTTGTGTTGTGTGTGTCGTTATGTGTGTTGTTGTGTGTTGTGTGTGTTGTTGTGTTGGGTGTTGTTGTGTGTCGTTGTGTTGTGTGTTGTTGTGTTGTTGTTTTGTGTGTTGTTGTGTGTGTTGTGTGTTTGTATTGTGTGTTGTGTGTGTTGTGTGTTGTTGTGTGTGTGTTGTGTGTTGTTGTGTTGTGTGTGTTGTGTGTCGTTGTGTGTGTTGTCGTTGTGTTGTGTGTTGTTGTTGTGTGTGTTGTGTGTTGGTGTGTGTTGTGTACCTCTCCCGGCGCGGCAGTGTGCATCCCCTGCGTTCTCGTTGTGTGTGTGTGTGTGTGTTGTGTTGTGTGTGTTGTGTGTGTTGTGTGCCGTTGTGTGTGTGTGTTGTGTGTGTTGTGTTGTTGTGTGTGTGTTGTTGTGTGTTGTGTGTGTTGTGTGTTGTGTGTGTGTGTTGTGTACCTCTCCCAGCGCGGCTGTGTGCGTCCCCTGCGTTCTCGCTGTGTGTGTTGTGTGTTGTTGTTGTGTGTGTTGTGTTGTGTGTGTTGTGTTGTGTGTGTTGTGTTGTGTGTGTTGTTGTGTGTCGTTGTGTGTGTGTGTTTGTGTGTTGTGTACCTCTCCCGGCGCGGCTGTGTGCGTCTCCTGCGTTCTCGTTGTGTGTGTTGTGTGTGTTGTGTGTGTGTGTGTGT